AGCCCGTCTGCAGCAGCTCTCTCTCTGCATAGCTGTGTGTGAAGGACCGCTGGGTGATTTTTTTGTTTAATTCAGTAAAATGTGTTAATTATTATTCCGCCACTAAATAAAAAAAGTCAGAATTTATTATTATCTACAGACTCTCAATAACAGGAAGTAAAAAGCTCCAGACGAGTCGAGTGTGTGGTGAAGTCACGAGTACGCTTCTGTTCCCATTGACCCATATTTATGTTGCGTTCTCCCCGAGTCCAGACTTTTCTATGTTCTTCTCAAGAACATATTTGACGAGGAGACGAGTTCATACTCGCGTTGTTGTGAATTGAGAAACATCATATATTTAATAGAAACATTTTGATGCAAAGTTCCTGTTTGCGTTTGATAGGAACCTTAATGTTCTGACAGGAGGCGGACGGGAGGATTGACTTGAACTATTGGCGCGTTCACAGCAAAGCGTTTTATTAGCATCAGGGCTTCTGCTTTATCTGCATGGTCTATAGAAGATGGTGTCGAGGAGCTTCCAGAGGTTCAGAGGGACTATTTGAGCGTCGGGAGCTGCGAGTTTTGAGAGCAGAGGATGCTGAGGATCAACCAATCAGAGAACCTGATCCAGGAGGTGTTTGGGAGACAGATGACATCCTGCCTGTGATCAGTTCTGCAGGGCTGTTAGCATAAAACTACATATATTTAAATATTATATGAATTAGCTCTGATCATTATTACTCTACCTTATTTGAAATAGTCAAAAACTCCAATGAAAAATATTTAATTTTATATGCTGAAACTTGCAGTTTTACCAAACCTCATAAAATACATTATATTCTCTTACAGATAGTATGAATGGCAGCAGGAAATCCCTGAACACCTTGAGGGTCTCCCAAGAGCTTTCACCTGGGACTTCCAGCACTGCTGCCTGATTAAAAGCATCATAAAAGTTATCATTTTCTATTCTGTCAAAGCAAACAAAGCCACGCAACTCTCTAGATTAAATGGAAAAGAACAGAGCAGCTCAGCGTGTCTGTTTTTAAAACCCACAACCGTCCAAATTGAGGCGTTGGACGCTTTTTTGACACTCAAAATGCGTCTGTTGTGAACGCACCATTAGAGTTGCTGTAGATCAGTTTCTTTAATGAATATCAGTTGGTCTGAGGTCCATGAGGTGCTGCAGAACGGTCCGGCTCTATTAAGTAGCTGTGTATTCTCACTATCAGGAGGAATACTTGGTGTATACAACCTTATGTTATGAGGTGTTTTTGTAGAGGAAGATAACATGATTATGACCCTCTAAAACCAGACAAAAGCTCGACCAAAACATGATCTTAAGAAATATGAAGCAAAATTCTGAAACTATCTCATCAAAACCCAGAACCTGACTTCCTTCCTTTTCCTTTTTAAATGCCTCTTTGAATATAAAAGGGTCATTTGTTCTTTTGAATAAATAAGCTGCAGCAGAAACTTTAATTTGTCTATAAAATATTCAACCACTCCTGTAAATAGAGCATGTTAAGTGGAAACACTTCCTGAATTCTGAATTCATTAAGTTCCACGTTGTCCCTAAATGCATCTGCTAGTTCCTGCTTTGAATATGAAGACCCTGAAGTGACGGCAGCATCTTAGGGAGGAATTTAAATGAGCTGCTGTTTTCATGCTGCCACCACATCCTGATCAGGGTGCGAAGCCGCAGCCGCTCGCTTCACAAAGCCCTCCTCGTGACAGCACACTCACTCCACATCGATCTCATTTAGGCCGCTTATTACAGACAGCAACGATTGTAACCACAGCCCGTCGGCATGGCAACCGCAATTATCTGGCAGGGCGGCCCACCGCTGATGTCACTGGGCGAGGTGTGTGCGATTGGCTGGCTGAGGATGAACGGCTGCGGAGTTCTGTAAGGAGACAATTACCTGAATCAGAGAGAAGCAACGAGAGGGAAAAACGGAGCAGATCGGATCATCCGGAGGAGCCGAGCGATGCTCTCACACCCGGAGGGTCACGCTTATCGCTCCATCTCCCAAAAGAGGCAGCCACGTCCTCAGTTTTAAAGGCACCATAGATTTTTCTACCGTGAAATGATTTGAGGACGTTTCCAGCTGAAGAGGCTCGTCTTATTTCAGTCACAGCAGCAGGAGAGGCAGATGATTTCCAGCTGAAGAGAAGCGCTGTGCTTCCTTTCAATAAACACACACGCTCTGCCCCCTTTTAGACCTTTCAGGAGTTCATCACCACGCCACTTCCCAAACCATATGAAAGAACATCAAGTTTCCTCACATAAAACCTGAAGGAGAGAAGCTTTCATTTGCACTCTGAAAAATAAAAATCAAACAGGTTTTCTTTGAGATAAAGGTTTGAGTTAAAGTTTTAGAATAACAGTAGAAAATTTTAGAATAATGCAAAAGTGGTAACAGATCCAGAGGGAAACCCAGTAGTGATGCCCAGCTCTTCCTGGAGATGTTTTACAACAGAAAACAAGGCTGAAAACCTCTAAACTGAAGCCATCCTGATCAGATCAACCATCTCAGCAACTTAGATGTGGAGGAGCAGCGGTTCTACCTGAAACCTCCTCCACACCTCACCTCCTTCTGGAGGTCTAAGGTCCCCCAGTGTCCCAGAAAACCTTCAGAAAGTGGCGTGTAGGTGGTTTTCTCACTGCAGAACTGCTCTAAAAAAGTCAAATTGTCTTAAAATAAGAATATTTGCCCTTAATTAGAGTGGGTAAATAAGGTAAAATAAGATAATTAGAGATTATCAAAGTTTTTTGGTTTTGGTTAAAACATAAATAATTTTAGTCCATTGCCAAATTATTGTACTTTTCTGATAAAAATCCAGAAACAAAAGACTAATTTCAAGAAAACTAGACTTAATTTTTATTTCTGCAGCTCTGCACATTTCAACTACATAATATTTTAGCACCGCAGGCAGGGGGGGAGCTAGAATTTAATGAGAAGTACAAAGAAGCTGCAAAAGGTCTCGGCAGGATGGCAACGCTTCGAAGTAAGTAAGAATTCTCTATTTATAACATCCAAAAAATATTAAAAAACTTATTATACAGTTAATTTTTTAGAAATAAGAACAGTTTTTTACATAGAGTCTAACTGAGTAAATAAATAAATGCAGAAGGCAAATTCAGAAAAAAGAACATGAAAGAACATTT